TGAAGGTTTTTTGACTCAATTTCACACCAGGTATAAGGGTACAAAGGTGGACACTTGAGTGAGACTGCAAACCACAAATAATGCTTGCAAGCTTCATATCACATGACAACACAAAAGACAATCTCTCAAGGCTCAATTTGTTTATGATCTGCTTTACATTGTTATAATTTTCATAGTGGTTTTCTGCAATAGCCACCAGAAGTTGATGCTTCACTCCTGAGTCCTTGAAAAGAGGTTTCTTAGTCGAGGAAGAAGCATTTGGTTTTAAGTCAAGAACTCCTAGAGACATATTCAGGAACCCCCCATCCTCCATCAATTCCCACTCTGATAAGTTCATTTGACTGAGGACCTCTGACCTGAACTAAAGTGTTTCCTAAAATTTCAACATCTTAGTATTTTCAGTACACCAATAGACGTTTGGGTTATTCTTCAATAGACATTTGAATGTGTCTGAAATTTCTGAGATGACAAATATGTCAGAAATATGCTTTCCAAGAAACTCAAATTTTTCCCTAAAGTTTGTTTTAACTACTCGCTGGGTAGCTACTTTGTTAAGTATTTGAAAGCCCAGCCTGGTTTTGAACTTGTAGAAAACAGGAACTTTGTTAGCTATAACAGAAGCAGCTACTCTTTCTGCTGCTTGTATGACTTTTGCGGCAACTTCAAGCAAGTTCTGTCAAAGCATTCCTTTTGTAAAATTATGTGAAATCTTTCAATCAGTGAAAAGCATGCTGAACAACATTTCTCAACAACTGGCTGTTCTTTCGACTGACTGGTTGTGTTTATTGTTCCAATCGGCTGAGGGCTTCCAAACTTGGCTTTTCCCACATAACAAATCATGCAACCACATGGTGATTCTCTTGTTGCTGGATGAACCTTTATATTTTTTGGAAGTTGAACATTGGTAGTTGAACATCTTCACCGTTGACACTTTTTCTAAGGCCTAATCAACAGTTTTCACAGATACCAATTGGAACTCTTTGATCTTCAAAGTTGATAGCTTGAACAAAAACTTTTTAACAGCGTTTAATCATAAAGCCAGTCTGTTAGCCTTTTTAGCCAACACAGAAAAAAGACCACTTTTCTGTTGTCTTCATGAGTTTTTGCTTGATTCAGTATTTTAAATAGTTTTGCACTTGTATTTTGCTCAAAAGGCACAATGAAACTGTTCTCAGGCGTTTCTTGAAATTTCAATATCAATAAAGGGCTTAGGAACTCTTACTTAAACAAGTTGCTTATGTTCGTTAGTAACTTATGTGACAAAAATATACAAAATTTTTATGTAAAAAAAGTTTTATTTCATTTGATTAATAATCTTGTCAATAAACCAAAAATTCAAAATTTTAAAATTAATTTTTCTTTCACTGACAATGATGAAAGATTTTAAAACAAACTCTAATGTACTCCTACATACTTGTACTATTATACCTTCGAAGTTTTTTTCTCAGAAAAAGAGGTTTGAATTAAAAGTCATTTTGTGACTCGGTGATAGCAAGTATTTAAGACGGTCTCTAAGTTATTGGGGTCTGGAAATAAATCATCCTGTTGTCGAAGCAGCTCTTCTCTTATATTGTCTTGCTCCATTATTTCTTAAATAATACTACATTAAAAAATAGAAAGGAAATGTAAATTACTTTATTAATTTTATTACAATTTATTTCAATTATTCCCATACTTTGACTAAAGTCAACTTTTAGTCAACTTAGTTGATTCTGAAAAGGTATTTTAGTCAACTTTAGTCGACTAAAGTCAACTTTTAGTCAACTTAGTTGATTGTAAAAATGTATTTTAGTTGACTTTAGTTGACTTTAATTGACTTTAAAAAACATATTAGTCGATTTAGTCAACAGTCAAATTATTTATTACTTGTAACAGCACTAAAAGAAACTTGAAGTAGTTTGAATAAAAAGAAAAAAGTCATATAAAATTGAGTTTTAGTTAATGAAACAAGAAATGGTAGCTAGCTTGAAGAACAACCATGGTAGCACATTTAGACAAAGAGAAAAACTTAATGACTATGATATTTAATGAATAAAAGATTTTTAAAAAAATTTTCTAAAAATTTTTTTTTTGTTGAAAAATGAGACGTTTAAATCAACTCATTTTACAGTATTTAAAGCTGAACTCCAAATGTATTTCACTATTTATTTTTTATAAATATAAAAAACTGAAATATAATGTTTACTAAAAAATAATAATTTTAATAATAAAATTTCCATCCCCATTATAGATTTCTAAGCCTCTCCAGTTGGGAAGCTCCGGTTGGTGTCTTATAAGCCAGTGCATATTAATATAACCATTATTACATTCTGGATCACTTAAGAAAATAATTGTCTTAAGGGGAGGGCCTAAAAATAGTTTTAAACCAGTACATTTTTATCCATAAAAATTAAACCAGGAGTAAAAAAAAAAGTATAATAAAGAGAGGAAACCTTAGCAAATCCTTTGCAATAGATTATATAAATGGTTTCCATAAAATGTCACCATTAAAAGACAACTAAAAAAAACATAAAATGGTTTTCATCTTCTTGTGCAGCTGCACAAGAAGATGAAAACCATGGAATAGAATGAGGCTTGACTTCAAACCAACTGAATCCAGGAGGTTACATAGGAGGCACATTCTTCAGCTGAGAGAGAAAAAACATCAGCCCAAGGACTGCCACAAAAAAAAATCACAAAAAGAATCCTAGTCAGCTTTACTTGAACTTGATCTAAATGTTTATTTTTTTGTATTTATTTCAAATTATCTTTTTAACTAATTTTAATGTATTGATATTTACCTTAAAGGTTTGAAAACAGCTTCATTTTAAATAAGTTAAATTGTTGCTGCATTCCTACAAACGAATTTTAAAACATTTTCCATCATCTTATAAATTATAAAAATACATCACTACCTGTAGGAACATTAATAAAACTCTGCAACACCTTATAAATCTCCTATGCTTTATACTTGTTAATTGTACATTTTTAAAGTGAATACAATTTTCATTTTCATTGTTTTAAGAAAGATTTTTCGATATCAAGAAAACAAATGGAAATTGCAAGAGGAAAGTTTCTCTAGTGAAGCAATTTGATTTCATAGTTGTAAAATGTATAACATTAGTTATTGTCTGTTTTTGAAATAGAGTTTTTCAAAATGATCCAAAGAATAATTTAAAAAACATGATGATGGGATGTGAGCCAGAGAGGAGTTTTTTTGAATTTGCATTGCAAGCGTTTATAGATTTTGAATCTCTGAATCTTAAGTGAAAATTAATTTTTCCAAACTATCTATTCTGCCCATTCAACTAGTTTCTACCCATTCAACTGCCTATTCAACTCTACCCTGCCCATTCACCTAGTTTCAACCTTTGAGAGCTGCTAACTAGACAATATCTTATCCTGAATCAGTTTTGAAATCAGTATTAAAAGAGATGTCATCGTTAAAATAGTTTGAATTTATATTGCTAATGTATATGACTAATATAAACCACTATCAATGTGATAGTGGTATAGTGATAGAGGGCTTGCCTTGTAGCGAGAAATCCTGGTTGTACCCCACTAAAATTGTTTCTTTAGGAAACCATCTTTTTTTCCTTTTCAAGCAATGCTTGAAAAGGAAAAAAAAGCAGGATGGTTTTCAATATTTACAAAACACTATCTTATAATTGCTATGTATTTTATACTTTGAATAGTGACAGGCTGGCATATCATCCCATCCTGTCTTACTTGAAAAACTCCTTTTAAGTCTATAGTTGTAATTATTCCCATACTTCGACTAAAGTCAACTTTTAGTCAACTTAGTTGATTCTGAAAAGGTATTTTAGTCAACTTTAGTCGACTAAAGTCAACTTTTAGTCAACTATTAGTCAATGTTGACTTTAGTCGAAGTATGGGAATAATTGAAATAAATTGTATAGTCTATAATGACGATTCCCCAAATCTGCGCTAGCAGATTTGGGGAATTGTCATTAGATTGGAGTTGGTTAGAGGTGTCCAATTTTCTTTTTATGCTTTTTAAGATTTGTTTCTTATGCAATCATTATTTTGAAACCCATTTTTATATCCTGTTGTTTTGTTTAGATTGGGGTTGGTTAGAGGTGTCCAATTTTCGTCCAATGTATCTCCACCTATCCACACAAATATAACAACCCAATCAACAAACTTTTATCATTAAATCTACATCCCCTGGCTATTCAAATCTTCCCTACAATTAGGTAGGTGAGAGTAGATTTTGTTAAAACCAATTTGTTAAAAAATTAGCATAACATAAAGTCTTACTCAGCATTTTAAACATGTTTTTTGAAAAAATACAATGCATTGGGAAGTCATTGCAAAACAAATTTCTTTATGCATGGTAAAGTTTCATATGCATTATTCTTATTATTATCTTAATATTATCTTTTAAGTAGATCTTTTGTTGTAAAATAATTTCTTTAATCTACGCTGGTGGTACTTATGTGAAACATAAATTATATTATAAATATTAAAAGAAATATTGAAAAAAATTATATTAAAAATATCATATGCTTATAAAAAAAACATGCATTGCGACATGCATGTTATGCATTTGTTTATATTATATATATATATATATATATATATATATATATATATATATATATATATATATATCTTTAATATAAACTAAAGTATACAATTATGAATAAACAAAATACAGTCACATGCTGACCTTGTCGTTGCTTGATTAAATTAAGGGCTTGAATTTGCAATTCCATATTTTTTTCTATCATCATTTTTTTAAATACTTCGAAATCATCGCATGCCAGTAAATGATGAAGTACCATCTATCAATAAAAACTTTTTAAACAACAAAAAAAAATAATCAAATGCATTTTTACAAAAAAAACTTTTCTTATGAAATGATGATTGAAAATTTGTTTTCAAAAATATGTTTGCCTGCAAAAACTATAAGTTTATGCATGCAAACAATTGAAATTGGTCTTAAATTTGAAATCTTATTTAAAATTTACTATTTACATCTCCTTTAATATTTATCACAAAAATATGTATATATAGCCTGCAAAATCTGAAGGACTTCAGGTCGGCACAAGAGTGCCATACTTAAACTATCTCAGGTTGAAAAAATTTTGTTTTTAATTTTTTGCATCCTGTTACAAAAGAGCTTATGATAAATTGGTTATAAAAGCAATTATAAGCCTTATAAGAGCAAAGCTTTAAAAAAATGCAGTAATTAAACTAGCAATTAAATTAATACTAAATTAATTAAGTTTTTTTTTTTAAATTAAGATTCATTCCCAACAAGACTGCAAGCAACCACTATTAAGTTGGGAGCTACTAGAAAAAAAGGATAGAGTTATAGAGCAAGGAATGGGTTGACAGAAGACTTAAATTGAATGTTGTATAAGCCAGGAAAGTATTTGTAGTAAAGAGAAAGACATGCAAATTTATGACAATGGAAAAGAGGTTCAAGCAGTTAGAGTGGGTCCAAATACATTTACAATGCGTTTTTTGGTACTTGTCTACAAGAAAAAGAGCATCATTTGAAAAACCAGCCCAAATATGACAACGATATTTCATATAGGGACAAATAAAAGATTTGTAGAGGTACAACCTTAAGAGATGTTAATTTAGCAATCAATTGTATAGAAGAACAGTAGTAAACGATAATCAAGGAAGATGCAAAGAAGAGGACTCAGTGAAAGGGTTGCCATTCATTAATATAGAAATGTCAACAATATTATGATAGCTGTTTGCAGTAAATAACTGAGTTTTGCTAGAGTTAAAATTTACAAGCCACTGCAAGCCCCAATCTGTTACAGAAATGAGATCAGATTCAAGATCAACTGCCTGTTCTATGCAATCAAAAAAAGAAGACTTTGTGTCAAGACAGGAGTATAAATGAGATGTCATCAGCAAAAAGATCTACTTTAGATGTGAGATTGTCGGAATCATTAATATAGATAAGAAACAAAACAGAACCAAGGATAGAACCTTAAGGTGCCCCAGAAGTTACTGGAAAGAAGCTGGAGTGATTTAAATATCTAACAAAAGGTTAACCTGTTTAACTGGAATGAAAAGAAGAGAATAGCCATAAGATCCATGAGTCGAATAAAAAAAGTTCATTGAAAATAGTTATACCTTATCTTTGGGAGTTGTAATAAGATTAATCCTATAAATGAGAGATGAAATGATAAAACCTACATTTGTTAATAATGCTGTTGAAGATTTTCCTAACTTCTGAGATAAGATATGAGATTAAGTGAACTGAGAATAATGGAGCTTGGCATCAGAGAGCATTTTTTTACATTGATTTTTTGTAATAATAAATAGCTGTTTGTTTTCAAGAGAGTTGTTCTTTTGAAAAAGATGAAAAAAATGATTACAATTAGATATATTGATTAGATAAATTTGTAAAATACAAGTATTTAGCAAATTTATAAATTATTGAACTTTGACATTGTTTTTTAATAAAAAAATTTGTTTATTTATTACATTTTCATTGGTTTTTTAAATCATAGAAAGAAAGTTGTTTAGAAATGCAAATTTAGTTCATCAGCAATAGGTGAAGAATTAGTTAAATGCAAATTATTAAAAAAAATAGTAGATACAGTTATTCTAACCTTGTGAATAACCTCAATGAATAAGAATTCTCTTTGTATAAACAAAGCAGGAATCAGCAGCACTTTTTTTTCTTGAAACTGTTAGTATCAGTTTTTTTTTTAGTTTCACTAAATGCTCTGAATATTCTCTGCAAATTTTACACCAAATTAAAGTAAATTCTTCTAAATAATTTTTTTGAAAGCCACAGGATTTAAACCTCCATTTTTCAATACAGTTCTGTTAGGCATATTACAACTTGTTTAGAGTTTTCTTTGTGGAACACATAGTTTTTTTAATTTTTGATTGCTTTAATAAAAAACCTTGATTTGATGCAAATTTATTTTGCAAAGTTATATATGTTTCTAAATAACATATTTTTAAATATTGTATTTTTTTCTCTACATTTAAGGGGTAAACGAATTCTATCTGTTGACCAGCTTTGAACCTCTTTTTTACCTATTAGGCTGACATAGATGTATTTATAATACATTGTTTCCAGTTTAGGATATTGAATGTTTGATTTTCGTAACTCATTGTATGGGTTTTACTTGTATCTGTTTTGATGACTAGGCAACTCATTCTATTAAATGAAAAGAAATGATTTAATCTCAAAACCTTTATATAAAGAAACTAATAATAGAAAGAAAATCATTGGATAGTTAGAGAGGCAAGAGTTTTTTCTTAAGATTTAAAAATTGGAACCACTTATTTAGAATATATCAATAGTTTAGCGAGAATCAAAAAGAAAACACTTTTGTAAGACTATGATGGAAATATTGTCTGAACCACAAACTGTAAAAGAGTTTAATTGAGAACCAACTTTCAATTGACCTGTTTAACTGAAGTGGCAGGAAGAATAAAGCCATTAGATTCAAGAGTGGAATTTGAGGATAAGTGCTTTGGAAATAGTTCTGCCTTTTATCATTGGGCAATATTCTTGAGGTAATAAGATCAGACCGATGAATTAGTTATAGAATATTAGACTGACTTTATTTAATAACACTTCCATAAGTCCACTACCATAAGTTCCATAATTCTATTTTTCCATAGTTCATTCCATTCCATAGTTCCAGTTTCATAAGTCTTTAGAACCTAGCATCTGAAACGATTGATACCAGATGATTGTTCTTGTAAAAAAGATGAAAAATTTGATTATGGTTTGATATAGCAACTACACAAGTGAATAAGGCTTGACTTAAAATTAATGAGAAAGAATAAAAGATTCTATACCTGCTTGGATCCAGGAGGTTAGGTACAAGGTGAGTTTATAAATACATAATATAGATATAAACATATATATATATATTTTTTAAGTTGATTTAGGTGCCCCAAGAAGTCCTTACGGTCTTATCACAGAGCACCGCGGAAGAGCATTTAATAGGAAGTTCACGCCTCCTTCCCAACCGATGTCGCAAAACTTGCTCAGAGGTGGGGTTTAAACCACGGATCTTACATTTCTGAGGCAAGTGCGCTACCACAGCGCCACGGCTGCACATTTGTTTGCTATTTATTTAGATTCTGGTATACAATATCCCTACTTTAGTATTTATATAGTGTATTATTTGCTAAAAGGGAAGATGATGATGATCAGGTAAATCTAACAAGAAAAAGAGCCATAATCTTATAAAGAGATAAAAAAACATTGTATCAATCAATGTTTGTCAGAGAAAATAAAAGTGGTTTGGGTATCAGCATGTAGAGAGGCAGCAGCTTCAGGAGAAAATGATAGAAGTAAGAAAACGTGGAGAGAGTGCATTACTTATGGTATGAACATGCTTAAGTTAAGGAAAAAAGATGCTAGAGATTATATAATTTGTTTATAAAATGAGAAATTGAGCTTGAAAAGGATCTCACTTCAATAATTCAGATAAAACTCAATTTTTTTTAGGTAATTGTTATCGCAACAATCTAGATCTTCCAATGTTTATGAGTGGTAATACATTCGATGAGTCATCTACCCTTCCAAAAACTCCTATTCGTCTAGCTTTTTTCCTCAAACATCAGTTCTTTGGAGAGTACTATTTTAATTTTGCTTTCCTGATTCATATAACTTGCAATCTTTCATGTTGTCTGTTCATAGTTATCTTGCTTTATAAATTTCATTTTTTTTCTTCCAGTTACTTACAGCTACTTAAAAAAAAAATACAAGACAAGTTTATGTTTTCTTTATTTTGGGTATTATGTAACAATTACAATAAAAAAACATTTTTATTGATTGAACCCAAGTAACATCAAGTCGCATATTTGTTGAACTAGAAGAAAGGCATTTCAGTGCAAAAGATTTGTTTTTAAAAGTTTCTGTTTCAGAATTGTATGGTTAGGTGAGAGGCTTAATGGGACAGAAAAAGAGGGAAATAACAGAAATTAAAAGTATAAACAACAATTATAAATAAAAAACTAAAAACTACCTCAATTTTTATGACTTGAATTTGTTAACTAATAGTTGAGATAAAACTTAAAAAAAAAAAAAAAAGAATTACCTGAACTTGAGGATCATTTTTTGCAGGTGGAGATGTGCATGCATTCAAAAACTGATCTTCTGTTATCCCAACATCTTTTAAATAACCACCAAGTAGACTTTCAACCTAAAAATTACTCTGACTTTGAATTATTGCAAAACTAAAGCTAAAATGTTATGGAATATTATAATATGAAAACTTTGTTTAATTTATCAACATAAAATTATCATCAGTTAGATAGTTGTGGACAACTATCTAACCGATGGAAAAACAGATGTTGATTATGATATAGGAATTATGATGATGCACTTTAGAAGGGTATGTAAGGAAAAAAACTTGTGAAAATAAGACAAATAAATACTCTGGTATTTACAATATTCTGTGAATAGTCTATGATTTTTATCCTTGATTTATGAAATTTACATAGATCATAAACAAACAAACAAAAAAAATTGTAAGGAAGTAACCAACTAAAAGAAAATCTTTTTTAATTTGTAAATATCTTGTTAAGTTCCCATTTTGTTTTTCTAATTTTTTTAACAATAATCACCATCAGAGTTTCTTCGGAGCTGTCATCTATACTTTTAAAACTTTTTAACAAGTGCTTATCAGAGTCTTGTTTTCCAGCCTGCTGGAAAGCGGCATCTGTTATCCCTATTTTTATAAATTCTGGAGAGTGATCTGACTTGTCTAATTACTGTCCCATTAGTCTTCTAACTACCATAAGCAAGGTTTTTGAGTCTTTAATAAACAAAAACTTAATCTCTCATCTTCAATCTAATAACTTTCTTTATGATCATCAATATGGATTTTGATCTTTCTCGTTCTACTGCTGATTTGTTAATGGTAATAACTGATAGGTTTTATTGTGCATTAGATAGATGTGGAGAGGTTAAGGTTATCACTCTCGACATTTCTAAAGCTTTTGATAAAGTTTGGTATGCTGGTCTTTCTTCTTACAATGTATTAGGCAACATCTTTAAGATTATTGAATCTTTCCTTACCAATCTTAGAATAAAAGTTGTCCTCAATGGACAGCACTCTTCTTCATATCCTGTAACTTCAGGGGTTCCTCAAGGTTCTATCCTTGGCCCTATACTTTTTTTAATCTACATTAATGATCTCCTATAAATTCTTACACCTAAGATGGTATTGTTCGCTGATGATGCTACTACTTATTCTTGTCTTGATAAGAAGCCAACAATCTCTGATTGCTTGGAGCGGGCATTTGAGCTTGAAAAGGATCTCACCATCTCACATTTGGACCTGCTACAGCATGGGGCTCTTAGTAGCTGGTGAACTTTAACTCAGATAAAACTCAATTTTTTTCAGCTAATTGTTATCACAATAACCAAGATCTTCCTATATTTATGAACAGTAATATACCCTTCATCTTCTAGGATTAACTCTTACATCCAATTTTTTTTGGACACCATATATCAAATCTGCTAAGGTTACATCTCTTTACCATGTTTGACACTTTCTTACTCAGGATTCGATTCATTATCTATATAAACCTCAAATCCGTCCTTGTATGGAATACTGTTGATATATGGGGCAGAACTTCCAATGATGCCCTTTCTCTTTTAGACAAAGTGCAAAAACGCATTGTAAACATATTTGGACCTGCTCTTGCAGCCAACCTCTAACCATTATCACATTTTTGTAATCTTGCTTCTCTTTCTCTTTTCTGTAAACTGAACTACTCTAAAAATTTAATGCTTCTTGTGGCATCTACTTAAATTAATTCTCATGTAATTTATCATTTAATTAAGTCTCATCTTTTTACTGTGACAGTTCCTACTCCAAAAATTCTTATTCATCTAGTTTTTTTCCTTGAATATATATAGTTCTGATTTATATAGTTTTAATCTTTTAAGTTGTCTGTTAATTGTTATCTTACTCTATAGACTTCATCTTTTTTTTTTTTTCCAGTAACTTCCAACTCTAATAGTGGTTGTTTGCAGCCTTGTTGGAAGTGAAGATGTTAAAAAATAAAAAATTGATTGAGTTGTAGTATAAAGTCATTTTTTTCAAATTAATTTTTTTTTGCAATTATATCAAATTAAAAGACCAGAATAAAAATTATCAAAAAATCAAAGGAAAATTAACAGACTAAAAAATTAATAAAAATAAGGATTGTTCTTTCACAAAGAATATTAATATACTTTACTAAGTATTAAATATGGATTATTCTTTCACAAAGAATACTAATATACTTTACTAAGTATTAAATATAGACTATTTTTTTACTAAAGATACTAAAATGGACTATTCTCTTACTAAGGATACTAATATACTTTACTAAGTATTAAATATGGATTATTCATTTACTAAGGATACTAATATACTTTACTAAGTATTAAATATGGATTCTTCTTTTACTAAGGATACTAATACTTTACCATGTATTAGATATGGATTATTCTTTTAATATGGATACTAATATACTTTACTAAGTATTAGGTACATTCTTTAATAAAGATTAAAGCAACTACAAAACAGCAGTATACAATCTAGGTATCAAAGAAATGTGTGTGCACTGATTAGTTACATAAAGTATGTTACAATATGAAGCCCCTAAGTCTAGCAGGTCTAAAAATATATATTTGATTTAAAAAGTCAAAAGTTAAGGCTAATCTATTATTATACAATTTAAATGTATTATAAACACAGATACACAGTTCAAAAGTTTATACAAACGTAAACTGATTCATATATTGCTAAAAGAAAGCCTTTATTAAATGAGTCAAAGGTATCTAACAGACATATATTTTAAGATATAGCAGAAAACTATTTTTTTTTAGTAGGAAAATAATGTCAATAATAATAATTGCAATGATAACAATGTCAGTGGTGATGGTAATAATGACTGCATTTATTAAATATTATTCTCTAATAGTATAACAGTTCTACTTCATTAATGTTATTCATTGATGTAAGTGATGTATGTGATGTATGTTATGTAGAGCATTCGCTTTATATGCAAGAAGTGCAGGTGTTAATCCCCAAATATGTCCCTGATAGAACCGTACTTAACTTGTTTCTCTAAGCAGTTTCTTTGTTCATCACGATTTGTGTTTCAAAGCTGAAGGATTGAGAGAGACAAAAAGTGTAACTTGGCTGACTGAAGTTACCTCTTGGGCCTTAAGAAAGTTAAAACATTAAAAACTAGTTTATTACTAACTTTTCCAAAAGTTAGGCTTGAACTTTCTTTTAATGTACATATGCAATAGTATACATTAAATAGTTTTTATATTTTATAGTTTACATGTATTTATATTCATTAACAATTTACATTTTTCATAGTTCACATCTTTCAAATAAATGTGCAGGTAAATTTAATTTAATAAATTTTTCTTTCTAAATGTAAAAATTAAATTTAAAGGTTAAATTAAATTTTAAATTTAACTTGTTTAATTCTAAATTACATTAATAAATACAAAATGTATACCAGAGTTTTATATTTATTGTGGATTTCTGTCCAGTTTAAATGATTCTCCTCAGATTCTTCGAAGACTAGAAAATAGATTAATAAAATTTTACATGTTAAATGCAAAACAAATATATAAATAATATCATAAAAATATAAATATAAAATTTTAAAAATAATTTTAAAGCAATTACAACCCAAATATTTATTTTTCATATTTTTTATTTTAATTTTTTAGAACAAAATTGAAATAAAATATTAAACCGTTTTTATTTTAATTTTTTAAACTAATGTTACTAAATTTTAGATAAAACTATATAATAAAAATAAACAAAATAAAATGATATAAATAAAACATGTATTTATATTAGTATATAAATTAAATTAATAATTTATTTAAATTCAAAAAAATAACTTTTGCAAAATAATAATAAATAATGGATAACAAAACTATATACACAAAACTAGTAATTAATATACAACTGTAAAATGTCAAAAAAAAAAGAAAAGAAAAGATTATGTTACTAATTATAAAGATTATATTAAATATTATTTTTTACAAATATTAAATTATTTTATGAATAATTATGAAAACAAATATTATGAATAATAAATTATTCATAATATTTGTTTTCATAATTATTCATAAGTAACTTTTTCATAATTATTCATAAGTAATGTTTTCATAATTATTGATAAGTAATGTTTTCATAATTATTCATAAGTAATGTTTTCATAATTATTCATAAGTAATGTTTTCATAATTATTCATAAGTAATGTTTTCATAATTATTCATAATGTGGTAATGTGGTAGTAGACTAGTACTAGAAAACTTGGCTTTCAATAAAGAAGTTTGAGGTTCAAAACCTCAAAAACCTCTGAAGTATTTCTCAACCTGTTTCTTTGCTCTTGTTAAATAAGGTTCAATGTATAAGGTTGAGAGAGTTACAAATAAAATAAAAATTTTAAAAATTAAAAATGAGAAGTCCTCCACTCTGGAGCCTTGGAAGGTGAGTTTAATGAAAAAAAAAATTAAAATTATTTAAATGGTATTTATTTAGTAAAATAAATTACTTAATAGATGCCATAATATAAGTAAAAATAACTATAGAATAATGAAAATAATAAAAAACAATAAATTCAATGAATAGATAGATAACATAGTATAAAAAAATATATTAAAGAAAAATTATTTAAATACTAAGCATGCATGATTTATATTTATTTTTGAAAATGCCACCTTAAAAAACTCAAGCATCAATCACTTTATGGTTTAATTATGTTTGTTATGTTTAAATACAGTTCAATTATTGGTTGTTATGCTCAACACACATTTTGAGCATAAAAACCTAGCCTCTAATGAGCTTGTTTGGACTCACTTATTGGCTGTAAAGACATACTAAACAACTATATGCTTTTTGAAGGTGATCACTTCTTGTGTATCCACTTTTAAATAAGAACATTTTGAATCTTTAAAGTTATACTTTCCACTTACAAAATTGTTTTTTTTTTTGCTGCCATCTTTCTTCCATATCTGGTTTTAATGTTATTATCACAATCATTGCTTGATAAAGTCTGGTCCCGCTGAACATTACAAGCTACATATACTGGTGTTATTGTGACTCTTTAAAACCCTTAATCATAATTCTTTTATTTTGAGTAATTGTATTTGGTACAAAACCATCTGGAATAAAGTTAGCAAATTAAGCTACTTTTTTATAATCTGCCTGCTTTAATTTGATGACTCAAAGTAAAATACAACTACTCTCTGATTTTGAATTCCTGTTGTTTTATTTTGGTCAACATTAACTCTACTGCAATCAAAGCTGTAATTACAATTGTGTTTCATCAAAATAGTGTTTCTATAGCCGCTTTGACTGGATTCTAATGTATACCAAATCAGATTTGGTTCTATATTCACTTTTTTTCATCTTAATTTAATTGTCAATATTAAAATCCAATTCTAAACTTAGCCTTTTTAACATAATACTTTAAATTGTTGAACCCTTAGCAAACTGCCCCATTGGGTTTTTCAATACATACTTAAATGAAAGACCTTTTTGTGACATTAACAAACTTTTGTAAATAATAGTTTTTTTGATAGTATCGCACAAATTCAGAGCATTTTTATATTCTTGTAAAGAGATAAAGCAATAGAAATACAAATTGAACTAAGTATCATCTTTTTCTACATTCAAATCAACAACTTGAATGGAATTTCTGTGATCAACAACTTGAATGGAATTTCTGGATTGGAGAACTCAAGCATTGCCAACCCTATTTTCAAGTTCTTTAGCTCTTTTTTCTAAATCGTACTGCTAGTTTACAAGGCTTTAGCTTGGTTTCATTTCTTCTTTGATTTTTTTTATTTTTATTTTGCAAAAACTGTTTTTGTCTCTTTGTTTTTTTTGTTTTTTCTAGTTCCTTTCTTTTTTTTAACTTTTTTGTTTCCATTTCATCTTTCTAATACAAGTAGGCTGATTTAGCATATTGCAAAAAAAATACTTTTGTAATAGGAATGTTATGAATGATACTGGGAATATATTAAGTAATGGATCAGATATTGATGAACAATCGATCATAAAATATTGAGCAATCATATATTATCAGCAACCCAGTGGACACAGACTTAGCTGTAAGACATCTAAACAATGTCTTAAAGACATTACAAGCCCGTAGGACACCCTTCAGATATCCAACAAACATTCTCACTGGGAATAAATTATATAATACAAAAAGATTAAATTATGAGCTATCCACTGTTTAATATTAAACAATATTAAATAATGGAAAATTTGCTAGTTTATTATTTACATAAATTTAATTGTATCAATGTCATAATCATAAATTTAATTGTATAAACTTAGAGTTTGTGCCAAGGTGCAACTTTGTTTGAATAAAAACACAAAACTGTTTGTATAAAGATTATTATTCTTATCATTCTTATCATTCTTATTACTATCTAGGGCTATAATAAGTCTGTACAATAATAAGACAAGATACTGTTTGTATAAAAATGAAATATAAAAAAACTAATAAAAAAAATGACATGGATGTTTTAAAAAAACATCCATGTCATTAATATCTAGACATCCAGCAAACATCCAGCGACCAGCAGGCCAAAAATCTTTTTTTTCAAGAAAGAAACTTAATGTCTGCTAATTTAAATTAATTCTTCAAAGTATTTGTAACCTTTGGAAACAACTCCATTTAATACACTATCAATTTGATGTTTAACTTTTACGAAGAAGAACACACAAAAAATTATTTTTATAGGTTTGACACTGTATTTTCCCCAAAAAAGCTGGATGTCTGGCAACCCTATATAAGAAAAATGTTAAAGATTTGTCACTATTTTCATAGGTTGAAAAAAACAAACAAAAAAAAAACAGGAAAATTAAGTGAATAAAATTATAAAATAAATATAAAATAAAGTGAATAAAATAAATTAAAAACCATTGTCTTTATAAAAGTTTACATTTTGATTTATTTGATTAAAATAGTTTTCAGAAAATTAAAATTAAAATATAAAAACTATTTAAATAAAATAACTTAAATTAGACAACTTGCTTTAAAACTAATAAAATTCATTGACATAGAAATCATTAAAAGTGTGAATATAAAAATATTAAATATAACATATAAATACAATAACAATAAAAGTAAACAAAATATGAGACATATTATTGTTATATTTATTGAATTCTTTTTCATTTCAGTAAAATTAACATATTATATATTATATATTTTTATAATATATAAAAATCAGTATATATACTGATTTTTCTTCTACTTTGCACCATAAAATTTTCCTTTTAATAATTACTTGCAAAACTCACCATGTAAGACTTTTAAAATCAATTAATCATCAAATTGACTTACCTACAACTTGAAAGATATTGGAAATTAGGATCTTATCCAAAGTATTATTTTCAAAATGCTACATTTTAGATTTAGTTAAATATAGAAATGACACTTAATTCAAAAATTCTAAATAAGAGATAACAATATTTTGTGAGAACTCACTCAACGGCTCTTAACAAAATTATTCTTTCCATATGTCAGTTATAGAATCAACTTACTCATTGATAATAGCTTTGAGTACAGTTTACCTTATACAATAACAATCAACCCTCAATCAAAAAACTCAACCCAAGAAAGAAACAAAACAATAATTAACAAAGTGTTAAAAGTGTTGGCACACGTGATGTCTTTATACACAAATCAAGACTATTTAAAATTAGGATCTGTTTTCAAATAAAGGTAAATAACAATATCTTCTAATCAGAGATTAGAAGATATTGTTATTTACCTTTATTATAAAATGACATTTTTCAACCTACCTTACTAAGTAGGCCATATTTGGTAAAATTGTTCACTTTCTGCATGTTACAAGTATTCCAAAATTTCTATCTTTAGATGATGATTTAGCATCTAACTTTCTAAATTTTATGAACAATATATCAGATGCTTTATTTTTTGTCTGTGTGAATTGTGTCTGTACTGTGTATGAATTGTATGTGTACTGCATTGTGAACTTTTTATAAAAAGGCTAATAATTGATGAACTGGTGTCACCTTAAATGAAGAAAAAAGTTTAAAAAGTGGAAAAAATGACAAAAATTATTCTATCAATTTTTATTTATTTTCAGATTTCAAATAAATGATTTCATTTTTAACTTATAATATAAACTCCAATATAAAAAATGAATTTCAGTTAGCATTTATTTTGGTTGCTTTGTGGTCTTTCCTTGTGGTTTATCTTGTTTGGTGTCAATAATTTAAGTGCAGAAAAAACTGACAAAATACTAATTTGAGTAATTTAGAGTTTAAAACTAAATAACATCTGTCTTAAATGATTGTCTAAAATGGCCAAATTGTAATTTTCAGCCCTTTACATTAGTTTTGATCCATCTCAGTTAGTTTACCTAAGTAAGTTTATTTAAGTAGAATGCCTTTATTCTGAAATTTTTTTTTCTTACTTTACCATCAAAATACAAGTTAAATGGTCCCAAAAAACAAATGGAATGTTAACAAAAACTCTGAAAAAAAAAAGAAAATAAAATGAATAAATATAAAGACTAATGACAAGTGCTAGAACAAACAAACAAAAAAAGTAAAAAAAAGACTAAAGCAGATGATGCTTACAGCTTAAAGTCAAAGATGTAATTTGTAGCTTTGTGGAAGAAGTACGAAAAAGTTAATGCTCGCTTGATCAATGCGCATGCATAGTTGACAAGAAACTGTGACTACTCTTTCTCGCCAAGAAAATAAGTGCATCTTAAGAATATTTAAAATATTGAAAAAAAATTGTTTGAATACTAATTTTTTTAAAGGAAAAAAAAATCATATTAGTGCTTGTTATAAATTAATACTGCTATAAAACAAAACAAAAAACAATCACAAATAGTTAAAATGATTTTTAAATGATAGTATTCATATAATATTTATAATAACACTATTATATTAAGTAATATCATTACTTAATATAATAGTGTTATTCATAATATTTTATTTAAACCAAAAATAAATTTTTCACTTAAAGAGACATTTTAGTCAAAATATTTTTATAAGCAAATGATTTAAAAACAAGTAATTAAAAAAAAAACTAAAGAAATCAAACACAAAAAGAACCATTAATCTTTATATCAAACTTACTATCAATATAAATAATGAGCAACTCTTTGACAAAAAAAAAAAAAATTGTCATTCATTCATTTTACGGGCTATAAATTCTATAAATTACATCATGCAATTATTAGCCGTTTTTGATCTCCCCCCCCCCCCATCATCACAACATTGTAACACTTTAGTAACAAGTCCCGTATGGTATTGTGGTTTTTTGACAACTTGTTGCAAAACCACTACCCCCTTCCTCCCTTAGATCGTGATGTAATTTATGGACAACCCCATAAGCATTTATTTATTTTATTTATATAAATTTAGTAAGTATAAATTATTTCACACTATTTTTTTATCATTTGCTTTTATCACTCTTATGGTTTAAATTGGTTTTCCACTTAAGTAAACAATTCATTTAACTCCAGAATCTTGCATAGAAATGATAACTGTAAGTGTTTCTTTGTGGTATTATATTCACTACTAAAAAAATTTTCAATTAAAAAAAAAAATTCTAATTATTTAGACCATACTAAGAACTTTTTAAGTAGATTTAATTAAACTTTCAAAACATTTTTCTAAAAGAAAAACTTTAATACTAATAAAAAAAAACTATTAATGCACCATAAAAACTATTAATGCAACATAAAAACTATTAATGCATCATAAAAACTATTAATGCAACATAAAAACTAATAATGCATCATAAAAACTATTAATGCACCATAAAAACTATTAATGCACCATAAAAACTATTAATGCAGCATAAAAACTATTAATGCAGGATAAAAACTATAAATGCAGCATAAAAAATAGTAATAAAAATTGTTTCACAACAACTTTACTTTTATAACATGAAATATAAACACAGTACACTCCTTATTACTCAAACCTTTAAAAGGTTCTTATCTATCTATTTGAAAGTTAAATGAGTCATCATAATTAAAAAAACACTATAATTAAAAAATGTCTTATATGGGTAATTTGCAGAGACCTTAATGCACAAGTGACACTCTGTGACAGTTTGGCATTAATGTTTCTGCAAATTGAAACTAAAAGTGCATGGTGCTTTTGCTCCACAGATTTTAGGGCAAACTGGGCAAACTAAAAAACTAATAACAATAGTATTTGTACATCATCATCTTTTTGTCGTTTGAATCATCTTAATTTGTTTCTTTATTACTTTTTTATAATTACTTTTATTAACATTTTGTCTATTAGAACTTAATATGTTTTTATCTGCAGATAAGATATAACAGCTGTACTTTGCTTAAAAATTATTAGGTTTTTAAATCTGATTATGGAGATCTTAAAAAAAAAAATTATATCTTTATCAAACAAGACAGATAATTACTAATCTTGTAAAACTCCTGCTTTTGCAAATAAATAAAGCTTGAGTTTTATGGAAAATTTTAACTGAAATGATGATTAAGAATTTATCTGACAAAAAAAAATTGGTAATGCTATAACGATTATTTTCAGAGAATATAATTTACTCTCACAAGTTTTGCAACAAAATACAAATTTACTTTAAACCCTAACTTTTATAACGCAAACAATGTATGAATGTTTGGTTTTGATATTTAATTTGAATTATAGCTTATACTAGTGTAAATTAGAATATTAAACATCAATGTTTACTCTAAACATCTGATATGTTTACACATTAAACATCTAATATGTTTATATTTGAAATTTTTGATAAGTTTACACTTGAAACATCTGATGTATTTACATTTGAAACATTGGATATGTTTACACTTTAAACATCTGATATGGTTATTAAAATAAAAGCCTGGGGATTTTGAAAACATCAATATTTATAATTTGAAAAACCACCCTGAAGCGAATTGTACAGCTAAAGTAACAGGTAAAAAGTTTTATGCTGATGCCGTTCCCTATCTTTTTGCAATTTACTAGAATAAGAAAGTTTATATTAGTTTTGAAAGAATTATACAGTTTATATATGTATATATATATTAAAAAAAATAAACTTCTTATAAACTTTTAGTAAATTTGTGTTTTAATTTTTGCCTCTTAATTTTTCTCTAATTATTAGTAAAGGGGCTTGGTAAGTAAATGGTTTTCTTGATAATTAGTAAATAACTTACAACCAAAATAAAATTCAACCAAAAAAAGTAGATATTTATCTGACCATTATAACTTATTACAACTTAAATGTTTTTTTGTTTTTTTCAATAAAAATAATAGTTTTAATTTAACTTTGAAACAAAAATTTTTTTACAAATTATGTTAAGAAACTTTAATGAGACAGTATTTTTTACTTTCAGTTATTAGTTACAACAACTACCATTTATTTATACTGAACCTGAAATTTTCAGAGCAAACAATAAAAATGAATGAATTTATTATTTTCTAATTAATGTTTTTAATTTTATCAATATCATTGTAAAGTGATAAATTTATTTTTTATATTTTAATTGAAATACAATTTTAAGCATGTCTATATTATAATATTTTTTTTATAATCTCATTTCCTTAGTTTAACATGTTTCATTGCAAAGTAGTATGATTAACTTTTATATACTAATTTAAATAAAAATGTAAATATAATTTTTATTATAGTCTTTCTTACATTTATAAACTTTCTAATTTAATTTTTTTTAATTAAAAAGCATCTTTATTATAAATTTTCTGAATTTGAAGTCTTTAAAATAAATTTTATATAATTATAGATAAATCATTTATTACATGCACATACTTTAATGTTATTCTAATTTTTTTAATCTAATTTTTAATTATTATTCATTTTTTTAAATAATTAAACTAATTTTTTATAATTTTTGTTTATAGTCATACTAATATTTAAATTTAAAAATACAATTATTGTTTTTAGTATGTAATTGTTGAAAATAAGTTATTAGAATGTTAAAAATAAGTAAAACAAGGAAAAATAAGTTTTACATTTTATTTCTATAAAATTGTCCTGCTTATTGTCTTGCTTATTATCACCTTTATTGTCTTGCACATGAACTTTAATATTGCAATGCCAATATATTTTTATTTGAATAATTGAAAAATTGAATAAAATTAAAAATTGAATTTAAATTAATATATTATTTCATTGTTCTTAAAAATATAGTATTTACTTTCTTTACGCATTATTCTAAAAATATTTTTTTTATGTTGCATTAAACTGAGAGAAAGTTTTGCATCCATTGCACTGTTTGTGCAAGTATATTTTACATTTAAATTATTTAAATAACATAAATAAAATTATAGATTTAAATCATTTACAGAGATCTATGTATTTATGTAGATCTAGATCTCAATATGAACTTTTTAACAAATAGTTCTAATACCTGCCTTTCTTTTGTTTTAACTACAACTAGTGTAGATTACCTCATGAATGATGGGCTGCAATATTTGAGTACATTTAATCAAGTTATTTAGTTTATTGGTAATCTTAGACCAGATCAAAATACTTCCCCAACATATTATCAATTAAATATTCATGATCCTCTTGCAGCAGTAAACTTTCAATATGATAAGAAAGAAAGACTTTAAAGATGATTTTTTTTCACTTTTTTTATTTTATTATTATTATTATTTTTTTTTTATTGTCTTTTTTTTTCTTCACTAATTTATATAGGGATTCCTAGAGCAACCATAAAAAACAAAAAAATTATAAACATGATCGTTTTTATTACTTTTAATTGTAATCTAAAATTGTGTAAGATTTATACCTGGGTTAGACAGCATATGATAGATTGACCTAATTTCTCGAGTATTTAAATTCAAACTAAATAACCTCAATAATATTTTCAAAAACTGTATATTAAACTAAAAATTTCATTTTAACAATTCATGTATTATACTTTCATTATATATCATCATATACTACATTATATTACAGTATAACATATTTGAAAAAACTATGAAACTAAATATTCTTTCAAATCTCAAACAATGTTCTATAAAAAATAGCTTTTTTAACTATTTTAAAGACTTAGATAGATATGTATCTTTTTAAAACTGGACATAAGTCAAGCATTAAAAGTATTTTTAATTTTCAAGTTTTTCCCTAGCCTGTATTCTTGTAAAAGTAGACTGTATTAGGTCTGAAACACCATTGTATTCCATTTTTCTAGCTAAAAATATGATAAAACATTGCTTTTTAATTTTGTGTTTCAAAAAACAAAAAAACTATACTTTAGCATTTTTAAAAAGTTACTGAAACTAGGCTAGAAAGTTGTTTTCAATTTAAAAAGTAATTTGAAACCTTCACTGATTATGCATCTGTAAAGCTATATTTTACTCCTTAAAGCAAACATAGAGTTAAAGTTCTTTAAAAACTAAAAAATTTGTAAAGCAAAAACTGCTACAGTTTTAGAAGTCTTGGTCAATAAGCTTTAGGTTTTTTAACAAAAAAAAAAAAAAATTTTAAATCTAATTAACAATGATTCTGCAGTAAAAAAATACATACCAACTGACTGAGATTCTATAAAAGACAAAATAGGTACATTCCAAAGAGGAGAATTTATAAAACCAAAAATTCCATCAAAAATAAATTCCCAATCAGACATGCTATTTACTATAATCAGACTCAAAAAATTCGATTTGTTTGGGTAATCTAAGTCGGAATTTCAGTGTTTTGTAAAAACAACATCTTATTTAAACGGCATACGGATATAAAGGATTAAAAATTTTCATAATTTTGGGGGGCAAACTTTTATTTTTACAAACAAGTTGAGTTTGTTAAAAAAAAAAAAATTGGGTTATAAAAAAATAATTATATGGTTGAGCAATAATATAAATTTTGTATTACTTATCTATATCAATAAATAAAATTATTTTTTAATTGTTGTAAAGCAAGTTAGATTAGAATTTTAATATATATAGCTCCTAAACTTTCCGAAGTTGTTCTAGCGTTGCAAATTTTTTTATTAGGCTTGCGATTATTTTTCATCAAGAAATTGTTATTACAAGTTAAGTAGGTTTTAAACATACGAACAAAAATGGATGAAAAAATTGACGGAGTTTTTCGCACAAGAACCCTCGGGATAGGTGCTAGAGGAATACCTGATCAATACGCAGACGGAAAAGCAGCTAGGGTATGGCATAAATATATTGGAGATGAGCAACAAAGAACAGGATATTATAAAGATCAACTAGTTTCTATTTTAAAAGAACACAATTGCCAACATGTTCTTGATGTTGCTTGTGGAACTGGGTATGCATTTTTTTCACACTTTTTTTAGTAAAGTAAAAATGATTATTAACTCATTAAAACATAAATGATTATACATGGTTATAAACATTTATGTTTTAATGAGTTATCATAATGTTTGATAACTATTTGTATTTGGTAAATTTTGTCGCATTAGATAAGTAGAAGTTTTGAATTATACTGTGTTTTATTTTAACCTAAATTCAGTATTGATTCAGTTCTACTGCTTGAAGAAGGATTCAAAGTAACTAGTGTTGATGCATCTGATAAAATGCTTAAGTATGCACTTAAGAAACGCTGGGAAAGAAGAAAAGAGCCTGCATTTGATAACTGGGGTATTTAAAATTTTGTTCATGATAAAAAATTTTTTTATTAATGAGAATTGTTGTATCTGTTTTTATATTGCCTTAAATCTTTCATAATATTATATTTAAATAAAAAATGGCATTATAAAAGCTAGGGTCATCAAAATTCTTGATAATACTTCCCCGGGTACCTGTTTAACGAATGAGCGAGTATTCAGTCTATTAAAATTATTTTTTACTTATATCTAAATTTTTAAATGTTCTTATTGCAATTATTTTAAAGATAAAATATAAAGTAAAAATAACAACAACTAAAAACTGAAAACATTTTATATATAGTTTGGGCGCTACTGCAGTTTCTTCCCCCACCCCTTTTTTTTATTGTTTTTATGATAGAGAATTTTATGCTGATTAAGAATTGTATAAAAACATAGGTCTGAAAATCAACAGAAAGTACTCTAATTCGATGTTGAAGTTTTAAAAAGTACACTAAATACGCTAATCTTTTTCATACCCTGTTATAATTACATTCCTTTTCAAAGATAACTTTAAAAAAGTACCTATTTGATAGTCGATGCATGTACATTTAATTTCGCCAATCCCTTTTTTTCAGTTAATGTATGTACGTTTAATTGTACCAAGATTTTAAACTTCATCAAATTAGAGCACTTTCTGTTTATTTTAATACCTATGTCTTAAAAAGATTCTTAATCAGCATAAAATTCTCTATCATAATCAATGATAAAAAACGGTGGGGGGAAGAGAGAAACTGCAGTAGCATCATAATTAGCTCTATTCAAACTTCGATATCTTTGAATAAACTTAAAAGTATTTATATTTTTCATCTTTCAGGTTTTGAAAGAGTTTTGTCTGAGAGACAAACTAATAAACAACTTCAAGGGGTTTAGAAACTCAAAAAACTATTCTGTTGGTTTTTTTAAGAATTTTTATAAAAGCTTTGATTAGAAGTTTAAACTTATTAAATAAAGTTGTTTCATAAGTTTAAAATAACTTATGAAATAATGTGTAACCATCATTTGATAATGCTACTGAGCAAAAACCAAAGGTTGGGTGCCCGGATACCGGTCAACAGCCTTTATGAAAATTCATCCAAACTAAGCAATTGTAAATAGAGATGTGCCGGAACCAGTTTATGCCGAGTCTCCGATTCCGGGTACCTGGCTGCTTACTCGTTGCCGAGTAACCGGGTCCGAGTCCGGGTACTCGGCACCGAGTCCATTTTTTAAAAGTTGGAATAAAAACTTGTGAAATCTCTAGCGCTGTACTATTCACACATAATACGCTTTTTACGCTAACTAACCAAAAGTTATGTGGTGGAAGTACCATTTAGCAAAACCCCGCAATGCAGGGTAAGGGGCCTGAGTTGTAGGGCCTAACTTTTTTCAAAAGTTGTGCAACAGTTTTTCAATAACTATATTTAGTTTAATATTATTTTTCTTTCCTGGTGGAGCGGGCCTAAATAATATTTTGTGGGGAAGGGGGCAAAATTTGAAGTTCCTCCATTGAAAGTTATATTATGGAAAGCAAAAGATTAAGAAATATAAAGAATTGCAAAATAAGGTAGACCTTCTTGACTGTAGAGTGATTAAAATAAAACAAATTTAAACAAATAAAAAGAACTTAAACAACACTTGCTGTATCTTATTTTAATTGTTTTATTAACTTTAAATTGTAATGCACAAACATTAGGTATTCTCCGTTATCTGCTTTTAGTCTGCTCCTTGTTGCTTTGTATATGTCCCTACCAGTACTAAATAACCTTTCACTTTCTATTGATGACGGAGGTGCTGTAAGGTATTTTAATGCCATCTTTTTTAGTTTTTCAAATTGCATTCCACATTTACTCTACTACAAAAATGAACAACCTTTATTTTCTAAAAGAGGCAGAGATAAATAGTTGTCTATTTCTTGAGTAATTGCAGACCTTAATATTGTTTGCTTCTTAATTATGTCAGTCGTAATAACTTCAATATCTACTAATTTTCTTTCTGCCTCGGAACATCTTTCACTCTGCTTTCTTCCGGTTCTCATAGAAGCTACATCTTTAAAACAATCATCAATGCTAATGAATTCATTAGATGCTGGAGCTTTTACTATTGGAGCATCGTCGGAGTCAACAACATCTTGCACTCCTTGCATTTCTTTCCATGCTTCTTCAACCCACTCTTTAATAACATTTTCATCTGCATGTTGATAAAGTAATTTATATCGTGGATCCAAAAATGTTGATACACATAACATTTTACTAAGCAAAATTTTATCAAGTCTTTTAGTAACAGATTTTATTAGTTCATCAATCATCGTCATAATCCCAGCGTATATATCACTTAATGAAGTTTTTTGTAATAAAACTTTTAATGCAAGAACAATTTGTGCGCAAGTTTCGTCCCTCCTACCACATTTTTTTGTTAAGTTTTCAAATGGAGCAAGAATGTAAACAAGTTTTTTGACTATTCCCCATTGATAATTAGTAGGAAGTTTAATTTCATCATATTCTGCTGCATAGGTGGCCAAAGGAACTTTTTGTTCAAACGTTCTTTGTAGCATTTCAAATAAACTGTTCCAGCAAGTTGGAACATCTTGTTTCATTTTGTGAGGTACAGTACTTAACTGCTGCTGAATTGATTTTAATTTTGCACATGCTAATGGCGAATGATTAAAATGTGTCGTTATTCCTCTGCATAAAGTTAAAATTTCCTTGATGGTTTCTTGGCTAAATATAGAGTCATGAATACATAGCTGCAAAGTATGGATAAAGCATGGAATTGATGACATTCCACTGTTTTTTACTGCAGCCTTCATATTGCTTGCATTATCGGTAACAATAAAATGAATTTTGCTTAACAGGATTTCAAAAGTTTCTAAACCTTTATGTAAATACTCTTTTATATGAACACCTGTGTGCTTTTTTAGAAAATGAGTTACTCGAAGAACAGCAGTTTCTTGGGAAATTTTAGTTTGATCTATCCAATGTCCAGTAATGCTTAAAAATGTGATTTTTGCAGTATCTGCTGTCCAAATATCTGTCGTCAGAGACAAATAGTTTGCCGCGGAGATTTTTATTGTTATATCTTTAAACAGTTCATCATACATGCTAGGGATAACGTTTTGGCTGAAATATGTTCTACATGGTAATTTGTAATTGGGGTAAGCATCTTTAATCAGTTCATTAAACCCCATATCTTCAACAATAGAAAATGGCTGAATATCCAATGTGATAAGTTTTCCTATTATTTTATGGATTCGAATAGATCTGTGGTCATCAATATTCCACTGTTTTTTTTTTTGTGTAAAACCTGAATAATGTTACTTTGTACTGTATTGGTGGTAGAAGCAACTGAGGCTTCAGAAATAGATGGCAAAAATTGAACTTTTTTTTTTCTTCCGCAAGTTCAAACTCTTTGGAATGCTTTAAACGCAAATGTTTTACCATTACTGTAGTTCCATAAGACTTACAAGATTTTCCTCCTCTCGTAACTAAACTATCACATAGTTTGCACTTACTCATATGAGGAGTCGTGCTTATATCAAAGAACTCCCACGCTATACTTTTTTTGTCATAATTTTTCTTTCAAATAAAATTTCTATAAAGATAATGAAACTAGTTTTTATATCAAAGTTTTCGTTTATTTTATATAAAACAATAATTTTTTTTAAAATATGTTTGAAATTAAAATATGGAAAATGTGTATAATATTTACCTTATATCTCCACTTTTATGGTTTTTGCTTGATAAGAATGAAAAGTGCTATCAGCGTTCAAAAGCATTATAAGCGTTTCATTCAAAACTAAATTGCTAAAAATTATCTTGTGTACTAACAGAATAAAAAGAAGCTATTCTAAAACTTTTTTTCCCATTCTTTTTATTCCTATTCTTGAATTATTTCATTTAGCGTTACAGTTTTTGTATCCGTATAAATTTTTTTGCAAAAATGTATTAAAAAATATTTTAAGTGAGATTGCTTTAAGTTAATAGAACTTTGTGGTTAATGACTACATAACACTCTTAGACTTATATCAAGAAGTTTAATGGTTCAAGTTTAAACTAAAGGAAAAATCAATTTGAAGATACCCGATGCAGGGTACTGCAACAAAATGGTCGATACCGGGTACCCAATAAAACAGCTGAATTGCTGGGTCCCCGGGTCCGAACTGGGTACCCGGCACATCACTAATTGTAAACTCATCAAACCAATGAGGTGTCAAACATTTTCTGTTGGTAGATGTCCATCCATTAATTGTAAATGAAATGGATGAAGCATCAGTTCATTTCATATTTGTTGTTTTACTTGTATATATTTGTATTATATATGTTATATATATTTTAAAATACAGAGTTTTTAATTAATTTTTTACTTGGAATGCAGTAGTTAAAACATATATGGTATAGCAATTTTTGAAAATAAAATGGATGAAGCATCAGTTCATTTCGTATTTGTTGTCTTACTTGCATATATTTGTATTATATATGTTATATATATTTTAAAATACAGAGTTTTTAATTAATTTTTTACTTGGAATGCAGTAGTTAAAACATATATGGTATAGCAATTTTTGAAAATAAAATGGATGAAGCATCAGTTCATTTCGTATTTGTTGTCTTACTTGCATATATTTGTATTATATATGTTATATATATTTTAAAATACAGAGTTTTTAATTAATTTTCTACTTGGAATGCAGTATTTAAAACATATATGCTAGCATGGTCGGGAAGCGAGTGCAATCGCACTCGGTAACTGAGCAAGGAAATAATATTTAGTTGTAAAAACCGGCCAGATTTTTTAGTAGTTTTAAGAACATTTAAATTTATGTATGTTTCCTTGTTTGTCAAAATAATTAATGTTTTAATGTAAATTATGTTTTACAGACATACATGGAAACGAACATATATTTTTATACAAACAAGATTTTTGTGTTTGCTAATACATATTCGCGAACACAAAAATCCCGCCAAATCTACAAACTAATTTTATTGGTTCAAAAAATACTAACCGAAATTTCTAGAGTATTCAAAAAATACTAACTGAATGTTTTAAAGTATTCTGTTGAAATATTTTAAAAGGTTGTATTATTTGAGCTTTGTTATGTTTTCGTTGAGATTTCTAGCTTAAATTGTTTTAAGAATATCAAACAAACTATTTTTTAATACTATGGCTCTTTCTCGGAGCCACATCTACAAAGCTATAAATGTTTTAAACTAACATTATTTGTTTGTAAAAATAAATATTTTAAGTTTATATTTTTTAACTTGTCAAAGTTTTGTAAATATATTATAGATTTTATTAGTATATTCTAATTTTTTATGTATGTAATGTATTTTTATGTATGTAATGTATTTTCTATGTATGTAATGTATTTTCTATGTATGTAATGTATTTTTATCTATGTAATTTTATGTATGTCTATTTCATTCAAATGTAATCTTTTAAAGCAATTTGTGCGATTGATTTTGTAAACAAAAATACTTTCAATAATAACTGCGTTTTCAATGAAATTATTAATAATCATCAAAGTTAATACAAATAATTTTAACCACTATCCCATTTTCCTCAGTATACCCGATAACTGATTCTTTCCCCAAGAAAGAAAAGTTTTTAAGTTCTTAGAAATTGGTTTACTAACTTCAATTATTTTTGCTTCAGCCATTCTTACAAACTCGTTATACTTAAACTTAAAGTTACTTTTTCTGTTTTAGATATTAATTAAAATTATAAAGCTCACTCACTAAGCATTATAAGTGGTATTGTGAAGCAGTTTCGCTTCCTCCTCTCAAAGTAATTTAACGTTTTTAGTTAATTTCTTTCGAGCTAATTGAATTTCTACAGTATCTCAATGATTTAATTATTTCATTTGTTTATCTTACTAAGAAGAATTGTTTCAAGTGTGTTAAACTTTTCAAACTACGCAAAGCATGAAACAGTTATTGAAAAAACTTTTTTATTTATAAATAAATCATCTAGCGTTAGTTTTATTGGTTAAATCTTGTTGGACTTTTCAGGGCTGGGTGCTGCATTATTTAGGTGGCCTTTTTTATGTGCCACAGCGTAAACATGACTAAAAAAAATACCAAATGGTCCTCTTGACTATTTCGCGCCCGCTAACATTGTGAGTCCCGAGGCTATAGCCCTTCTAATTCCCTCCTCCTCCTTCACCTCCTCATATTAGCACTGGAATTAAGACACAAGTATATAAATAAAAATCATACTCTTTGATAAATCGAAAAACATTTGTTTTCTTATTAAACAACCATTAATAGTAAGTTTTTACTTTATATAATAAATGTCACTTATTTTTATAAAAAAAAATTATAAAAGAGCGACGTTTCAAAAATACCTGCTCTAATTGTATTTATTTTGTCTATAGTTTTTTTTGCGTTAAAAGCTATTTTCCTGTTTTCATTAATGTCCCTTCCTCTCAAGTGTTTTAAATAAAGTTTGTCAAGGCTGTTTTAAGCAAGTTACCTTATTTGTCTGTGTTTTTTTTTTAATTTTTATTTTCTGCTTTCCTTTTTTTTTTCTTCGTTAAGTTTTAACTCTTTTTCTATTTCATTGTATTTTGTATTAATATGACACGATATATTTGTTGCATTGAAAAAATTTTTTTCTTTTTTACATCTTGTAATACTCACTTTTGAGTTTTTTTTTCTTTTTTACATCTTGTAATCTTGTAATACACACTTTTTTACCTCTTGTAATTTAAGTTTACATGAACTACATATGTATTACATATTGCAATTAAGGCAATCTTCAGAAAGAATGGTAAAAATTTCTGCACCCAACCACATTATTTCAAAGGATCTTTTTCAATCAAAGCTCCTGCCATTCTGAATATGTTTTTTGATTAAATAACTTTATTTATAAAGTAAGTAATTTATAAGTAATTTAGATATTATTCTAAAAAGCAATCATACAAAAATATAGAAAATACTATAAATGAGTCATGAGTCTTGGGATATTTACATAAATACATATAAACATACTAGCCATGAGTCTTGGGATAACTACATATACACATATAGAAAAAATTTAAATAATTAAAGTAGTATTTCTAAAATGCAATTTGATTTTCTGCCAACTCTTAACATTCTCATTTAAAGAAGGTAAAATAAATTTCCCTGTAAACTAAATCAATATTAAACATTTGAGGGGGTAAGAAACCAAGGGGAACAAATGACATTTTCATAGTTTTGAAAAAAACAATTCAAACACTTTAGTGAATTAACCAAGAGGCAAAGCACAATGAATTATGGTTTGATTGTACATATCGTAACTTAAATCCCTTTTCTACCAACATTTTTTTCCTTCTATCTGATTCTGTACTTAATTCAACTATGGTAAAAATGTTATTTGTGTCCTTTGGTTTCTCACCCCTCGTTTCTCAAAAATCCTTAGTAATATATAAAGTTAGACTAAGCTAATGCTGGTGCCGATTAATCGGTACATTACTGATTTTAGTGTGGCTGACACAAACATTAAATTATTGTGTTCTAATATTGGTTTTCAGTAAATTATTTAATTTTTAAGATTGTGATTTAGTTTGTAGTCTAATTTATGTTGTGTAGCTGTAAATATTCAGGGATTATCTTTTTCCGGATATTTCCGGAATTCCGGATATTTTTTTCAACTTATAATTTTTCCGGATATCTAAAACATTTTCAATAAATGCTAGTTGAGGTATATATTTTTGTAATATATTTATTTTTTAAGCTTTTTCACTCATCACTCATAGAAAAGTATTTAAAAGTATGAAAAGTTATGAAAAGTATTTAAAAAAAATTAGCATCAACTTTGCTAAAAGCGAAATTAAAAAGAAAATAAGGGAAACAAATTCCGGATTTTTTCCGGATATTTTATCCAAACAATTTTCCGGATATTTAAAATATGACTAGGATAACCTATGAATATTGCAGTTGTACTTTTTTTATAAACTATTGTGGTTGTATATTGTTGTTTTCATAACTTTTATGTTTTAGTGATTGAGGAGGGAAATTGGTTGCGTTTAAAGGAGGCTGATATTAAAGTTCCAGGAAATGGTTTTGATGCAATTATTTGTATGGGAAATTCATTTGCTCATTTGCCTGATTTTGATGGAACACAGAAATCACATCGAACAGCTATTACTAATTTCTATGATCTGTTACGGCCTGGTGGGATATTATTGATTGATCACAGGAATTATGATACTATTGTAAAAGGACACAAAGCACCAATGAAAAATATATATTACCAGGTATAAATATATGTGAATCTGAACATTGTTTTATATGTGAATCTGAAAATTGTTACTTATCAAAATATACATTATATCAGATAAATGTAACTTATGTATATAATTTGTTTTTTTCAATGTGGTTATATTTTTTTTATAAATAATGTTAGTTTAGTTTTTGTTATTTTTTATGTGTGGTTTTGCTTATAGAGTAAGAGTCGCGTGGATTGCAAAACTTCTGTTCTTATGGTGGATGGTAGCTATCACATGGTTACTTTAGATTATATTGTTTACGAGGATGATAATGACAATGAAGGATGGTATAGAATAAATATAGTTTAAATTTTTAAACTACTCTTTTTATTTTTGTATATATTGTTATCATTTGTTGTTTATATTTTTTGTTTTCTATTTTTATTTGACTTACATTTATACTTGTTTCTTATCTAGTAAGTTCCGCTTATCGTATTATCCTCACTTGCTATCTAAGTTTGACAATCTTATTGACGAAATATTTGGAGAAGGTCGTCAAACTGTACTTGCTGATTTTAAAAAATTGGACGAAGTTGACAACCCTTCTTACTTCATCCACATTTGCAAAAAGAAAGAATAATTCTTTGGAATATGAAATTTTTTTGAACGCTTCAATAATTGTGGCATTACATTATATTTGTTGTGTCTCTTTTTATAATTTTTGTTTTTTTTCAAAAATTGTGTTTTTTCTATTTCTATAAATATTTCTTTTCACAAATTATAATATATACTATTTTATATTTATCGTCATAATATATTTTGTAAAAAACAACTGTTTCACTATTGAATGTATTGTTATATATTGTCACTTTTTTTTTTTTTGTACTTGTATAAAGAAATTAACAAATTTTTTTTTCAATTGTATTTTTATAAATGTGAAATTAATAATATAAATCTACATAAATATCTATATATAGTATTTATCAGTTTTAAGTAAAGTTTAGATAACACCACAAAACTGCTTATATGTGCAGAATTTATAATGAAGACGTTTTAATAGAACCAAACTTGTAGTGAGGGGGGGGGGGGGTTGCCAAGGCACCAAGCGTTATTTTTGTAGAGGCAACAATTTTCCAAAATCTTATCACAAATAGGTTATTATTTTGTTCACTCTGTTTAAATTAAATTTTTTTTTCCGTCAAGAAATTGTGTAATACTAACACACAAGAGTTAGGTTTAGACAAAGCTTTTAAACGTGATAACATTGTTAGCCTAACTAATGGACCAGAAGTTAATATACATTCTTTAAAGATAAACTTTAAAGATTGTACACAATTGAACTTTCAGTTTAAATACCCAGCCACATTGTCACAAATTACAGATAGAGTGAGGTGTTATTTAATCGAACATGAACCTGAGCTGAAAACTCTAGAAAGGTGAGTTTTATTCAGAATGAATTTTGTTTTGACTAAAATTAATTCAAAACTTTTCAATTTGCTTAAAGAGCTGTTGACGAACTGTTTAAGCTTAAGGCTCTACTTTATTTATAATCATACTAACAAGATTATAGAACAAAGTTTTTTGTACTAAATCTTGATGAAGTACAAGAAACTTTGAAATACAGTAAATAAATTGTCTAAATGTATAACATTAGGAATAAAGTAAAACATTTCCGTGGCTTAAAACATTGTCGGTGAGCTTGAAAGAATTGAAAGAGTTCAAGTTAAACTTAAAAAAAGTATTTTCGTATTGTAATGATTTTTATTTATATTTTAAACTATGTTTTTAATTGCTTTGATGACTCCAGAATCTTTTTAGTTTATTGAAAGTCATGTTGAACGCATTTGCGCTAATCTTTAAAAATGCCCCCTGTTCTCCTGATACCGATAAGTTTTATACAGTTAAATCCCGTTAACTCGGACTCTGAACGGTGGGTATATATTTTGTCCGACTTAGCAAATGTCCGAGTTAAGTGAAGCTTTTGGTATGTATAGAGAATTCAAAGGAAACTGAAAATTTTTCCGACTATGTAAAAGTCCAACTTATCCAGTGTCTGAGTTAACGGGATTCTACTGTATTGTCTTTATTATAAAAGCGTTTTATTCAGGTTTATAACAAAAGCTTGTTGTCTCTAATCTAAGTTAATTGTTTGAACAAAAATAAGTTATCAAAGCAAATCTAAATTCTTTAAAAGTATCAGAGGCATAGATGTTACTTTTTATAATGATTGCTTTTTATTATAAAGTTGTTACAGTAGAATCCCGTTAACTCGGATTCTGAAGATCTATGTAAACGATTTGCATAATGCTTCAGCAAAACTTAACGCGATAATGTTTGCTGACGACACAAATCTTTTCTTATCAAACAGTGACATTAGGCAACTTTACTTTGACATGAGTTATGAATTAAGAAATGTCAATGAATGGTTTAAGGCTTATAAACTGTCACTTAAAGTAGATAAAACAAAGTATACTCTATTTCATAAAAAATCACAAAAGGAAAACCTTCCTTTAAAATTACCATATTTAATTTTAGATGATAAACTAATTGGAAAAAATGAGTCAATACAATTCTTAGGAATTCTTATTGATGAAAATTTATCATGGCTTCCTCACATAAATTATATCCAATCAAAAATTAGTAAAATAATTGGTTTTATGTAGCGTATTCGCCCATATGTAACATCAGAAAGTCTGAAACTAGTATATTTTGGCCGAATACATTGTTTTATTTAATATTACATGGGCTAGTACTCAACCAACAAAATTTAAAAAAATATTTTCTCTACAAAAACATGCACGCAGACTAATATATGAGGAAAAAAAATGAACATGCAGAACCACTAATGAAAGACATGCAAATGATGAGTATATATGAAATTAATATTTACTAACACTTAATTTTTATGTATAAATATATTAACAGCCTGATTACTAAAACCTTTAATAATAAATTTACGAAAGATGTTAACAACAATTACTCTCTTAGAATAAACCAATGGAATACTTATAAATTGCCTAGAATTAGAACAAGTATTCTGAATATGGAATAGCATACCGTGGACCGAAACTATGGAACACATTTCAAAAAACCAAACATTTAAAATCATTAATCTCCTTTAAGTTTCTTAAAAAAAAATGAAATTTTTAAACATAAATAATTTTGCAATTTTTTTAAATGAACATCGAATTCTATTAATCTTAGTTTGAAAAAAAAAATTGTCTTTTTTTTATATTTAAAACAATATCAGTATTTTTTAAAAGACTATTGTTAAAATTATATTAATACTATTTCCTTTCTTTCTTTAAATGTAAATATTTATGAAAGTTTTTTTTTTTTATCTTTTTATTATATTGGAATTGTACAGTTGTATTTTTAACAATCTTATTAAATTTTAAACTTGTAAAGCCCACATAGCCCTATGAAAAGATTGTGGTGACTTTAGTCATCCGTATCTTCTTTGAGCCCCTGTCTGTTTTTATAAATCAACTTTTTTTTGTATTTAAATATTTCTTTGTAATTATATTTTTTCATTATATAAACAGCAAATATATATAAACTAAAAAAAAAAAAGAGGTATATAAATTTAGTCCGATTTAGCGAATGTCCGAATAAAGCGAAGCTCTCGTTATGTCGCACTCTCTGAAAATGTCCGACTTAGTTAAAGTCCTACTTATCCAGGGTCCGGGTTAACGGGATACTATTGTATTGTTATTTTTTAACATTAAGTTAAAAAAATTTTAGTTATTATTATAAAATAATAATATTTAAATTTGTTTTTATTTTATATAATTTTTTTAAACTCTCAAAAAGATTGCAAGCTATCACTGTTTAAGTTAAGTGTTGCTAGAAAGCAAAGAATATTGTTTAACAGCAAGAAAACGTTTGATAGAGGATTTAAAAAACTGTAAAATGTATGATTCAGGAAACTTAAAGACGGGGCAAGCATTGATGTGCGAGGAAAAAAAACTAGACTAATTGATTTTTTCAAGAGCCTGAAGAGACAGATATAGCAAGAGTAACAACTTTATTGAATGACGAGTCACTCTGGAGTGAGTATAAATTGATGGAACGAGAGATGATAGCTCATTCAAGCAGCAACCATGATAGTAATTATAGTGACAACAATTATATGGTACAGAGGTTCAAGCTTACATTTAAATTTACATTTAAAACTACATTTAAAATACAATTTTGAACCTTTTCTAGAAAAGAAAGAGGATCGTTAGAAAAATCAACTTGAATGTAACAGCAGTATTTCATACAGCTTTCGTACTTGGTATAACTTAAAGGTTTTGAAAAATAGGTCAGCAAGTCAATTAATGTGCATAAATGTCTTGGATTGGCGAACGTGTAAGACTAAAATAACCTGAGGTGCGTTGTGTGACGAATTTGTGTCGGGTACCATTGCCATGATATCAAGTACCATAATGTATCAATACAAGTTGTGGAGGTGGACAAAATGCCATGCCAGGTAAAGCACGACAGACCAAAAAGCGTAATGTAGTACGGTCAAATAAGTAAGATGACAGATTTAGAAGATTTAAAAGTTAATGATGACGGTTTTGAGAGACAGTTAAGATTTTGAACACGCTGATAACAGGAAATGTAGAGAAAAATACAACAAGTAAATTTGCATCACTCTTTGGCTGACAGCAAGATCAAGGACACCACTATGATCAAAAGAGTTAGTTAGAATTCCAAAGAATGTATTATGAGCAGAATTATTTCTATTAAAAACTAAATGTAAGGGTAAATTGTTAAAAAAAAGTAAATTGTAATAACTTCTTTGTAGTACTCATTAACAGATTCAACGTCAAAAGACTAGTGGCGTAACTTTTAATATTGAATTTCGACAAAACTCCATCATCTCATTGATATAATGACTTTTCCTAAAATATTCGTTTCAAATTTTTGAAACGATTTCAATTCAAATTCTTGTAGTTATTGCAGAAACAATAAGCAATTGCAAAAGGTTAATCTCTGTTATTTGTTGCTTGAAAACTAATCTGTGTAACTCAATGTCGCAGAATAGATTTACTAGTCTTGGTTTAACGCATCAAATTACCAATATTAATGTAAATGAGAGGGTTATTTGTTTTGCTAGGAAAAATCCTTGCTAGAGAAAATTTAATTGGGTCATAGCGTTTGTTTAATGATTTAAATTATTTGGATCATAGCATTTATATAACAATCCAAATAAATAGAATCATTGTGTTTATGTAACAATCCAAGTTGATTGGATCATAGCGTTTATGTAATGATCCGAATTTATTGGATCATGCGTGTTATGTACATTACCAAAAAATTATTCAAATATTTTATGCAGCTTTTATTTATAAAATAGTTACTGAAAACACTTTTCTCAAATCCGTCGTTAAGATTTGTTTTTTGAAACTATGAATGTAGTTTTTTTATCTTAACAAAGTTGTTGTATTTATTTATAACAATACACCCATATGTATTTGTTAAAATTTGTTAAAATCACCCCAAGATTTATGAAAACTTTATTATGCATGACCTTCAGATTCTGTTACATATTTTTAGTTGTTATTGTTATTTGTTTGACATTTAAATACACAATTTATTTAATTGCCCCTCACAAATCTTATCTATTCAAAAATATTCTAGACTCACCCGTATTTATATAACTATAATGTCTATTTGTTTCTTATATTACTTTACAATTCATAAATAATTGATGTGGATTTATAGCATTCATTC